GTTTCTTCCCATTCTAAGTACATGAACAAGCATGAGGTGCTACATAAATGGGAGGAAATGTTCAACTTGTTGGGATTTTCTATCTTAATTTTGCATGTGTCTATGTGTTCAAACGTTTTGATAGGCAGTTGCTTCTTTTTCTCCAAAATGTTGTGTAAATTTGCACTCAGATTTTTTTCCTAATGAAATAAGATTTATTTTCAGTTTAGCAATTATTTCAAGATTGTAAGGTGGCTATGATAGGAGGGTTAGGGAAGTGACTGAACAACTCCCGAGCCCCACAAGAAATAGACAATTGTTTTGTCTTTGGAATGAATAATCCAATGGTTGCAGGACAGTTTCTCATCAGTATTTTTGCAAATACTTATAAAAAGTATTCTAAACCATTCCACATTGAACACTTTCTATGGTTAAGTCCCCCTCCCCCCACCACATAAACTTTCCTTTAAAGGGGAGAAGCAGTAATCTACATTGCAGCAGCAAAGAGGAGATCACATTTTCCTGCATAGGACAGTTAGGGCCCTATTCTGAGCCCATCCCTTTGATACTGGGGGGGCCTGGGCTGCACGACTAAGTTGATGGCAGCATTGGCCAGGAGTCGGTGTCCTTGTTGAAGTTCTAATTTGGTTTTGCTCACCCAACCCACAGTGATCATCTCTACTCACTCATCTTGCAGGAACTTTTCAGAACCAGGAAAGGCTGTTGCCATTGCCTTTTGAGAATAGATGGCATCATGACAGACTAGCTCAGCCTGGCTCCACAGCAGTTTGTAGACACAGAACAGGTGCAGTGTTCCAATCAAGCATGACTAGATGTGTGTGCAGGTGGTTTCATGGTTAGAAGTCCTAGTAGTGTAAAAAGAGATCAGAGTAACCAGTAACCAGTGAGCATACCTCTAGTGTCCCCATATCTGTCACTCTGCCTTCTTTTGAGTCACCCTGGCTTTTGCTTGAAGAGTTTGCCTTCTGTCTGCTTGGATTCCCCTTTGCTGATGAGCAGAGCTCTTCCTTAATCAAGTCAGCAAATATTCAGATGCAGAAGCAGCATCTTTTTTTTTTTTTTTTTTGGCAAGAAGACAAGAGCAGAACCAGCCCCCGAAGCCATTGAGAATGTTTGTCACGCTGTGAGTAAGTAACTGTGATTAAAGAATGAACAATTACCTGGCTAAGCAAATCGTTCCTACAGTGCTTTTACTCTCAGGCTACAGCCATGAAGCCTATTGGATCATTAGGTTTATGTGATGGTGCAATTTTTGAGAGGAAAAGCCAAGGTGCTTAGGGCACACAGCCTTATTTTGTAAAAGGAAATCCAGGAGCAAGTGGATGTCACCTCATAAACAGCAAAACTCCTAATCAATGCCTCATTTTCAAAGATCTCCTGAGATTCTGGCTGCTGAAGATCAGCTTTCCACACTACTTTTCCATGACGATATCCATGACATTCACATACTTGACAAGTCCGTGCAGTGCCTATAGTCCTTTCCCCTCTTTCCAACTCAAAAATGTGAAATACAGGTGAATGAGAGGAGGGATGTTGTATTTGCTATCATTTATTATTAATGAGATAAGCTACCTAAAACTGTATTAACAGTGCCCGATAATCAATAATTTTAACACTTTAATCAAAGTATTTCCTATCTACAACTTTGGTTTGCTGTTCTCAGTCAAAGATAACATCTACTGTATTCACTAATATGTCCATCTGTTCACAGTTGAGTAAAATTTGTCCTTATCAGGTTTTGATAACATTTTGTATCATTAACCCCTAAGAAGCTGATGAAGGCCTGGTGGATTTGTACAAATCAACCCTTGCAACAAGGACCAATTCTTGGATTTGGCTGGGTTGGAGGTTTGGTCTTACATTTATTAAATTTAACTTGAAGGCAAATATCAAAGAAACAAAAATTTTATCTCTACTTATTAGAAAGTAAAGATGCTATTGAAAATGTGTAGGTTTTGTGTTAGGGAAACCCAGGTGTGAATTGTGGCTTCTTATTGGTCTTCGAGAAATCTATAATGTCTCTCAGCTCCCCTATTTCATCTCTAAAATTAGAATAGTGGAATTTGTTCGAGGTTTAGACAATAGGTATGGCATGCCTTGCAGATAGGTATACAGTAGAATTTAAGAGAAAAACCTAAAGAAAAGTTATCTATCCAGGATGGAACTATTCATGTTGGTGGTAGGAAGGTTGAGGGCTTACTATTTTAGAGACTGTTAGCTGTAAATTATGGTTATGAGCAGAACCAGTCTCGGGTGAGTCCTGAGAGAGGCAAAGGAAGAAAACAGTGGAGGGAAGCTTCTTTTCTGAAATATATGTAAAAGCCTGGGGAAATTTTTTGACTAGAGATATCCAAGGTCTGTCTTAATGTGGAAATTTGAATTGCAGAACAAACTCAAATTTTGCCTCTCCCACAGTGACAGGTTGTTTTTTGTGATGTTGAGACAATTCCAAGGCAGCTGCTTTTTATACCATATGAACCCAGACATTTTAACCACTTCTACTTTGGGTAAATTATTCAAACTCCTACCAGAACAGTAAACATTGGAGTATAAATATGTCAATCATTTGCTTGACTGTATCAACTTTAGAAAGTTTTTTTGCATGCATGCTGAAAGACATGGAGATTTCTGTGGATGAGTAAAGTGTACTCAACTCATATAGAAGTTTTGGGTGATGTCATCAACTTTTTCGCAAAGTTGTTATATCTAGATCCCATATCTTGCTATGGGAAAGGAGGAAAAAAATTGCTTAAAATTTGCCTCCCTGGATGGAGACAAGCTGGAGAAACAGGTAACAAACAATTATTTATGGCTGATTTTACATAGATACAGTTGTCCTGGTTTTTTTTCTGTTGATTGAAAGATTTTCTAGTTGTTTATCTTGATTAGTAGTGGCCTGGACAGTAGGTTTCAGGTGCTCTGAAACTTCTCTATATCTAAAATTTAGATTTGTCTGTAAAAGTGTATAAAGACCATTTCTAGCACAGAAGCACATGTTACTAAAGAGGGAAGCTTGATCAAGTGTGGTTTCTCAATCAGTTCCTGAAAGCAGCGCTTTCAGCAATTATACATTTTTTTTTCTATTAAGGCAGAAGGAAAGTAAGGCTTGCATATTCAAGTTCTTCTTAAATGTCTGCCTCTATAATAGGATACCCATGTCTGGTGAAACTGTTATTGGACATGCAGAGACCAAGAGTATAGAATTCCAGTCAGTATGCAAGTGCCAGAATCTAAATTCTGAACACAAGACTGAGTTTCTATCCAGCCAATTAGAAGATGCTTTCGAGCAAAAGGTCAAGAAAGCATTCATATTCTAGGTCCAAACACAACCAACCACAAACCCAGATTCATGTGCAGCCATAATCCTCTATTGCAGCATGAAAAAATATTTGTCTTCTAGAAGTATTTTAAGGAAATGATCATTTTTTTTACAGGGGAAAAAGGGAAAATAATAAGTTCATGACCCTTACTTTGGAGACTGTGTCATAGCAATTACAATCTGTTTTGAAATTCTTAGAGGACATTGCCAAAAGAGGGGAAAGAGGACCTGGAAATGGCCAGTAGTTGTAGACTAGTTATTCTTGCCAAAAATGATTCCCAAAGCATAAGTTCTATTTTAAATTCTGATTGTGGATTGACAGGCATATTTAAATTTTTACATATAGTTACCATCTTCCACATTCACAATATACCAAGTTATTAAGAGTTCCAAAAATTTGGTATATATAGAACAAAAGATTCTGATGTTATCCATGTCCCTGAAGAAAGTGGGGATAGATGAGGCGAACAGACTGCTGGATCTTTTTCCAAAATCAGCGAAGTTCTGTCAGACACTGTCTGCAAACTACTGCTTAAAAACAGTTCTTTGGTGATCAGTCAGCATCTGTCCAAAGCTAAGTATGAACATCTGTCAAAGTTCAGGAAGTATATATCTGAGTTACAAGAATCATTCCAACATGCCCTAGGTGAACCCAATTCATTAAGTGAAGCAGATGAGAAGAAAATGGAAGCACTATTTTTCCTTCCAAAATATGATAGGTTGTAGGTTTTCATAACAGTTCTGGAAGAAATAAGTGATTTGTCCAGAACCATTCCAGGACATGTCAAAAAGATGATGGGGCCATTTGGAAGCATCTATTTGAGCATGAAATCAGTATCCTCCTCATTCCAATCTCTTGATTTTTAAATATGTTACAAAAGACAACTTCTTTCATCTGATCTTGGAATCCGAATAGGTTTTGTCATTAGTAGTTGAAAAAAAATGAGCCTGAAGACTAATGTCTTCTTTGGAAAAAGTCATGTTCCACTTGACTGGTTCTCTCCATCCCTTCTAGACCCAAGAGCAGAGAGTGTGCAACCATTGTATTCTGAGACATGATGAGTGCACCTCTCTGCCATGTTTAGGAAACAAGGAGCAGCCAAGTATACCCCACTGTCAACTGTCATCCAACCTGAGAAACTGGATGGATTGGAAATAGTGGAATTCACAAACCTACTCTAAAGATAATGAACCTGGATATCAGCCATTGTCTTACAACTCTTCCTTTCTAGAATTGTTTTTCATAAATGCTAAATGTGGCTGTCAAGTAGGTTTAGCCTGAAAATAAAATCTCTGCACTTCCATCAAGAAATAGCTCCAAACTTAGAGCATGTGCTCAAAATACTCTTGATGAAATCATCATCTTATATTTATAGTCTTTTGGGTTGTGTATGAAATTCTGTTTCCCATGGTGTTTTTCATTGAAAGGGCTAGTTGTGGACAGTGGGATCAGAGGATGACTGAGGGCACACTGGCTGCAGGGAAATGCTATTCTGCATCACTCTGAACTGGCAGCTCCTTGTGCCTACCTGATGTCTGATGAGTTGAGTCCTCCCCATCCCATTCCCAGGTGGTTCCCTCACTTGCTGGGCCTGTTTTGTTTTGCAGGAGAAGTGAACAGGCTTTCCAAGTGGGAAGGGGGAGGGGTTGGTAGCTAGGATGGCTCCCCTTTTCAGTTGCCCTTCCCGGTCCTCTAAACTTCTTCCCCATTTTCACTGAGGGAGATGGTGTGGATCTTAATGGTTGGAACTTGATGGTTCTCTTCAAGATTAGGGGTCGAGGACCTTACACAGCAGCAGACCTGTAAAAAACTTTTGCTTCTCACCCGAGCTGTGGTGCAGGCTGATTGGTCTTTGGGCACTGTAATCCTGGCAGATCCACGGGGCACGGAAGAGAAAAATTTCCATTCACAGACTCCGTCTGTCTTGGAGATCTTATAGAAGGTCTCTCCAGAGCCCACTGGAATGCGCACCATATCCTTGTGCTGTCCTTCCACAGCCTGGCTGGGGGCATGCAATGTATATCCCAGGGCATGCTTGGAAGACTGCTTTCTGCGAAGACATTGGATTTTCAAGACATTCTGAAAGGCCTTTTTGAACTCTTGACTGGAACACGGGTATATGATGGGATTGATGCAGCTGTTTAGGTATCCAAGCCAAAACACTATCTTAAAAACAATTTCTGGGGGCTTAGATTCAGGGAAGAAAGACCCTGGAAGAAAACAGACAGATTTATACATATTATTTGCAAGCCAGCAGGACAGTTGATTATGAAAACAAGCAAACATCTTTTCTGTCTTAAAAGTTTCAAATAACTCAAAGTACGTTTGTATTTTTTTGCATTTTACCGACTAGCCCTGTGAATATAACCTCTTTGTAATATCCTCAAAGACAATTCTGACTTGGTCCAATTGAGTACTCTGTGTATGTGTGTGTCTTGCTGTAACAAGAATTTTATTTGACTCACAGTTTCAGTGACTGGAAGTCCACCACCTGCATGACCAATATTATGTCAAAGAAGTGGAACGGGAAATACCTGTATGCAGAAACGGCCAAGCATTTGTGAAGTGGCCTTTTTTTGGAAAAACCTATTCTTGAGGGAACAAATCTGTTCTGGTGAGGTCCAAACCCACTCCACAAGAATAGTATTAGTACCTTCACAAGGATGGCTATGACCCAGTCACCTACTAGACTCCATCTCTTAAAAGTCCCACTACCTTCCAATACCTGCCCTGGGGACCATGAATCTTTAGGGGACAAACCACATCCAAACTGTAGAAACCACCAATTAGAGAAGCAGGTCCAATGGAAACATAGAACTCCTAATTCAGTCCAGTGTTTTTAATTTTTCCTTTCCTAGACTTCAAGTAGTTCTTTTAGCATTTATTCTAGAAGTTTTAGAAATATTTATTTATTTTAAAGGCAGAGAGAGAAAGAGAGAGAGAGAGAGAGAGAGAGAGTGCGAGAGATCTTCCAACTGCTGGTTCTCTCCTCAAATGGCTCCAACAGTCAGTTTGAAGCCAGGAACCTGAAGCTCCATTCAGGCACTTGTAGGCAACAGGAACCCCACAATTTCCCACCAATGGATACTTGGATTGAATGTAGAGTAGCTGGTACTTAAATCAGCATTGCAATATGGGTTACTGACGTTGCAGTAGGTAGCCTAAGCTGCTGCACCACAACACTGGTCTCTCTAGTGGTTTTAAGTAAGTCTAACTCATGAATTACAAAATCCTGACTATCTTCACTCTTTTCAGATAGGTTGTAGGTGAACATCTTGATCTTACTTTCACCTTTTTTTCTTTCTTTTTTTTTTAAAGAGATATATTTTTATTTGAATGGGAGATCTTACAGCGAGAGAAGGAGAGACAAAATTCTTCCATCCTCTCTGTTTACTCCCCAAAGGGCCACTATGGCCAGAGCTGAGCTGATCTGAAGCTGGGACTCAGAAGCTTCTTTTGGGTCTCCTACATGGATGCAAAGGCCCTAGGTCTTGGTCATCCTCTGCAGCTTTTTCCAGGCTATTAGCAGGGAGCTGGATCGGAAGTAGACCAGCCAGGACATGGACTGGCATCCATATGAGATGCTAGTGCTGTTGATAAAGGATTAGCCTGGTAAACCACCACACCGGACCCTGCTTTTTCTTTATTCACTCCCAAACTCCTGTTCTTCTTCTGGATTGTAGTCACACTTTCATGTATGTTAAGCTAAGTGGTCTTGGATGCATTTTGGGTCTCAGATTGAAGAAGGACCTGAATCTCCAGAGGAAGGAACAAGTTGAATGGATAATTTCCAATGTTCTTACACAATTTTTTTTTTCCTGTAGTTTCAGCTTATACCCTTGATTTTATATCTGTTCTTTTTCTCTCTGTACTGTGGATGCAGCAGAGTCTTGATAAACTTTTGGGTACACTTAAAATCCATTCTGGCAAACAACACTCTGAAACTTGGCAGAAGATCTCATAAATATAAACAAAGAAAAAATTAACATACATTCTAAAGGAACTAAAGTAGACAAAATGGTGTCCTGGCTGATTACTAAAGTATTTATTATCACTGAAGCACACTCCTTGCTGGGTTCAATTTGTCTCAAGAAATTTATACACACACACACACAATATTTACTTAGGTAACGGAAAATTTTATTCATTAACTCGAAGCTCTTATTTTTGTCCTATCATTTTAATTAAGTTGGCCACCACGGAGGGCCTGTTTGGGCTAGGCGCCATGCTAAACACTTAATATATAACTTATTGTTACTAACATTATTTACCTGCTTCCCATCAATAGTCCAGTCCCACAAATGAAGAAACCACAGTGCAATAGGGTTAAATAGCACAGTCAACTTTATCCAGACAATTATTGATAAAATTGGGACTTGTAATTTCAGAATCTGATTTTAGGGTCCATGATTTTTTATGAAGTCTCATATACTTGAAGAAGGCAGTTCTTGCGAAAGGTGGATTCCATATATGGGGTGCTGAGTGTATAGCTGGGAGAAACTAAATTGGAATGGTGCTTTTTAAAAAATTTTACTTCTTCTAATTATTATTATTACTATTATTTTATGGTACAGTTCCATTGGTCCTGGGATTTCCCTTATCTCCTTCCCATCCCCTCTCCCCTCACTGAATTCTCCTAAATTATCACTATAGTTTAGTTCTTCATAAACAGTCATATGTCCATCATTGTGGGCAGGAACAATGGCAGAGTGTCCAGCATCCTATTGTCAAGATTAATTAATAGTGTCATTGAGAGTCCGTTTTGGTCTGGAAGTAAAGATGCTTACTGCATTGTATCTTCACATCTGGTTATGATAGACTCCATTACACAGTTACTACTATACATCCCCTTAAAGAAAAGCCACAATACAAAATCAACAATGGGAAGAAAAATAGAAATTTACAATGTCATGAAGTTAAATAGCATGCTACTAGACATGATACTCTCCATTACACAGTTACTATACATCCCCTTAAATGAAAACCCACAAAACAAGATCAATAACAGGAAGAAAAAAGAAATTAACAATGCCATGAAGTTAAATAACATGCTACTGAATGACAATGTATCACTGAAGAAATGAAAATTAAGAACGTTCTTGAAGAAAATGATGCTACTGATAATCCATGAGTCATTGAAGAGTTTAATGAGAAAGAGTTTTGAAGAGATGAAACTAAAAAAAAGTAAAAATCCATGAGATACAATTTCCACTGATCTTTGTTGGTGAGATATATCTCCTGGAGGCAACAAACAGATGGGTTTTATTATTTTAATCCAGTCTAGTACTACTGACTTTTTATAGTGTCTTTTTTTCTTGAGTACTTTTTTTTTTTTTTAAGCTTGACACAGCTCTGCTTCCAGTTCTTTGCTTGTTTTCGCCTGCTGACAGAAAATATCATCCAATTCTGAGATTCTTTCTTTTGCATGCCTCATTCTATTTTGGAGACTCTCCACTGTGCTTTTAATTTGCTCCACTATATTCTTCATTGTTGATTTATCAGCTTTTATTTGATTCATTTCTTGTGTGACACAGTCCTTAAATTTCTTGAACTCCTGTAAAACGTGCTTCTCGTTGTTGATCAGAAGCTTTATAACCAGTGTTTTGAATTCTCTATCCCCCTTTTTTCGAAGTTTCCTCAGTTAACTCTGAGGTTGGCAAAGGCTTTTGCTCCTTTGCAGAGGAGTCTGCAGTAATATTCATTATGCCTTTGTCTCTTCTTTTGCTATTGGTCATGGTACTTCTGGTTAGCAGAATCTTCTCCATGCGGCAGGTTTCTAAGCTGTGTCACCCATAGGTCTACAGTTCGATTTGACTTATTGTGGTTGGCACATGGCTCTTTGTTTGCAGTCACTTGTGCCATTCCTTCCAGCAAGTTCCAGGTCTGAGTTCTTATTTTATGTTTCCACCATGGTCCCTGTAGCCCCAGCTCCTGGCTTACCAGTCTCCACCTCTTGTGATATTGTGCCGAATCTGCACCGTTGTCTGTACAACCTATCTCCCACTTCCTGTTTGAGCAGATCCCAGGATTAGGGAGACACCAGAAGACCTATATAGCTGGGTTGTTAGTGGTGATGATCTTGATGGAACCTGTGGGCTATTAGGCCTGAGGACCACATGGACCTCTTTTGACCTGTACGATGTCAAAGTCAGTTATTTTCCAGTGCTATGTACTGAGCTCAGTGAGTTTTCGCTCCCAGCTCAGCGCATGCATGGCTCACTATTGTCCCTGCAGGCTTTAAAGCCTTTGCCACACCATACAAAATGGTGTCTGATGTGCCACTACTAGGGTTATTGATCTGCTGGATGACAGGTCTGGGGACTATCTGGACTTATCTTGGGTGGAATCTGTAGGATGCTACGTTGTTGCAGTTCACTGAACCTGAAATGAGTTCACTTCCAGCTCAGTGCATAAACAGTCCTATCCCATAGCCTTTACCTCCTTAAACTAAATGTCACCCCTGGTTCAGCTCCTGGGGGTAGACTGGGCTGTGAAATCCAGTGCTGACTTTGCACTGCCCATCTGGGACCTGCCACTCTGTCTCTGCCCCTGGTTAAAACAAATAGACCAGCAAGACAGGCAGTTCTTTGTCTGGGTTCACCTCCTGAGCTCCCAGTGAACGTCCCTTCCCACCTTGTTGCTGGTGGAGTTCCGGCTGCCCATTTAGTTCAGATCAGCACTCACTGAATGCCACTGTGGTATTGGTTATTGCACCATCACACCATTGTGTTCACGGCTTTCTTGTGTCTATCAGTCTCCAGGTACTCCTCTGCTGTTGTTCTGTCCTCTCCTGTTTCCTGGGATGTGCCCTCTCTTCTTTATACTGGCTAATCTTTCTCTGCCTGTTTAAACATGCCCTTACCCTATTCTGCCATCTTGATTCCTTGGGAAAGGTGCTTTTTTGAATTTCCTCGTAGAAGTGAGACACTGGTCAATGTTAATATGACTTATGGCTTTGTTTGAACATAATGCATCCTAGAAAAACTCATCTTATAATCCGATGTTCATATATTGTCTAATATTTCTTCTTAACAGTGACAGTAATGTGATTCAAGGAACACATTTTACAAATGTTCCTGCCTGATCTTATGCTAATGAGTGTAAGCATGCATGAGCTGGGCATATGAAAAACTATCTTTGGAAATTTCACTGCTCCCTATCAGCTAGTTAAGGCAGTGTATTTTTTTTTGTTTGTTTTTGGAGAATTTCA